ATGGGTGTGGTATATTAATGCAGCATTAGTTGGTGGAATATTTTCAATACTTCGATTCTTTTTTTGCAAAAAGCTCCAGTCGAACAGTATTCACAGATGATGATTCACTTGTGGGATCATATAGATATACAACAAGTTGCTCTATAATAGCCATGTCTTCATCAGTTATCACAGATGGATTTTGCATAACAGAAAGGAAAGACTGTGTGACATTAGTAGCAATTTTCCAGGTTTTCATTGCAGATTGGCGCATGCGCAAACAAATTATTGACTTTTCCCGCTATATTTTGTTGCAATATGTGTCGCAAATGAGCAGGCAATACTACAGTAATCACTAACAGCAATACATGTAGCTTTTCTGCTGTTTAAAGGACAAAATTCAATTCTGTATTGATGACGTCATTGTGACGTCAAAATCGATTTTTAGAAGTGGCTCCAAATCTTAAAATGATCAGCAGAAGTCATAGTACCTTGACACAAAGTTCCATCCTTTTAACATAAACTGAACAGTTTTGATGTTTTTCAGCACATATCCACTGGACTACAGACAATACAGCTACGAGAGAAGCTCCTGTCTGTTTGAATGGTGGCGCGTGTCGCCAATATCAATAATTAACGTATTCCAAACTCCAATTAAAGACCCTATGAACCGCGACAAGATAACGTTCAATGTCTGCAGGTTGCAAATGATTGGACAAAGTTGACAAGATTACATCTTCTATTGTTTGTGCTTATTCTTCTCTTTATAATGTCTTCAGTTCCACCATAGACCCTCAAGGGTCTATGGTTCCACTTGAAGCGTTCACTCTAGTGCTAGCACTCACTGAAACCTGATCAAGTCTTGTTGACTCTCTTAGTCAGTGCAATGGCTTACATATTACCTGATCATGACAGGAAAATAATCGTTACTTTGTCAAACTCTTCAAAGTGGAGATCTAATAGTAAGTTGTTTTTTCTTTCTTTCCAATAATGGAAAGTTATGGTACTTGCCTGTGTTATACATGGCTTGTCTTATACGCCTACTGGCACACTTTTTTTTCCCTATTTATTTTCTGTAGAGGCTTTCAGGAGTCTAGATATATTATAAAACCATTCATTCTGTATATGTATCGGTGGTCTATGATCGAACCAGCGTTTTAAATGTATTTGTTAGTACACAATAAATGTTTTTGAATTTAACAGTAAAACAGATTTTTATTGTTAAAGGGGAACCGCTCAATCCCATGGATTGCACCAAAGAATCATGGGACTCTATGGTTTATGTTGTTTACAATGTTAATCTATCTTTTGTTATCCATTGTTATTTTAATCCAGAAAGTAAATTTGTTGTAAAATTAATCTTAACTGGAAGGTGCCCCTTTAAAAAATATTTGTTCTTTGTTTTTAACTATCTTAAATCAAAACTAATACTAGTCTAGTTTTTACTTTTAAGGGTTACACTGCATCAATTATGTTAACTGCTCTGTGATATTAATATTTAATTGTGTTTGTATTTCAGGAACTCCATATATTCCCAGTTACATGGATCTGAGTAATGGACCTGAGCCATGTGTTGTATGTGGAGATTCAGCTACTGGTTACCATTATAGATGTATGACTTGTGAAGGCTGCAAGGTAAAGAGTTTACACCAGAATTATTCTAGCTTTATATGAAACAGGTCCTTCTAAAAAACAATACTGTGAAATACTTTTAGCCGGAATACTGTGAAATATTTTACCTGGAATTAATTTTCGCTAAAAAAGCTTTTTGGATGTTTTGTATGGAATCTATTTTCACTGATTTTTGATGATTTGAATGTGGAACATTAGAAAAAAAGTATATTCGCTGTATTTTATTTTCACTGAAGCATCCCTTCAGCGAAAATAGTGACATTAAATTCCAAGCGAAAATAAAGTATTCTACAGTATATGCGTCTGTTAAATTTGGTTAAAAATTTGATTGATTTGAAGTTAACAGATCATTATTATTTATAGCAATGAGGGGTAACAAATTTTATAGTTTGTTGACGAGCTGTTGTGTAACGCATTTTCTCAAATTATAGGAGTTAAAGTAAAAATTTCAGTGATTCCTGTAAAATGTTGTTATTTAGAATACTTAGGTGACAGATGAGCTACAGTATGGCCCCCGAAACAAAGATGTCAGTAAAGGTGGACAAGTTTGGTCATAACTTAAAAAGCCGTTAGATTTATAGTGAATTAGATTCTGATAATTCCACACAAAATGTACATGTGTCAATAAAAATACTGTAAAACATGTTGAAAAAGCGGCATGCAAGTTTAGCGAATTGTGATAAAATGATGTAATAGCGAATCTCTCTTGTCATTGCTGATATCTTTGATTGGCAGCCATTTTGAATTGATAATAAAGTCATTAGGGACATCTTGAGTTAGCGAATCAGTTCTGTCGCTAAATTCATGAAAAAGACATGTTTTACAGTAGGTTGTAGAGGTGTCATTGCAGAGTAAAATTTCCTCCTGTATCATTTATTCTACCAGTACCGGTACATGTACATCACTTTATGTAAATTATCCACCATTTTATTGCTCTGGTAATCTTTCACAAAGGCTAATTGCAAAGTACCGGTATATCTTTCAAATTTTGGTCATGTGAATCCCAGTCAAAAAACTAATTCAGTGGATTGCAGTTCTGCAAGTCATTGTCAATGTGCTGATTATTTTAGTAAATTGATGTCAATACCCCAAACTTATTCCAATTTATCGGTTAATCTCCAAGATAATAAATCATAAAATCTCTGTCACAGCTGTTCACAAATACCACTAATCAACTCATCAGTCCTGCTTTATTCATGTATTATATATTTTTTATTCGATTAGGGTTTTTTTAGAAGGACAATTCAGAAGAATTTAAGTTATTATTGTAAATGGAATGAAGAATGTATTATTGATAAAACAACAAGGAATCAATGCCAACAATGTCGTTACAAGAAATGTCTAGCTGTCGGCATGGCTCCTGATTGTAAGTGTATACTTTAATTTTAAAATTATCAGTCTGAAACAATTTTTACCTGACTTTGCACAGTCATCGCGCTGTGTTGAGGTTGATATGGGTCCCATGTGACATGCCCAATGCTTGTGTAATGCAACAGAATTGAAACACATCCAAAACAAAGCACTCATAGTCTAACTCATAAATATCAACCGTAAAACAATGGTTTTGTGTTTACGTAATATATATGACATTATTCCATATTGGAAGTGCATCTCCAACAGAAACCCAAAATTGCATTTTTTGTATGCTAGGTCATTGAAATATTTCTTATTTTGACATGGACACACCTCTCTTTATTTATTTAAGTGTAATACAGCAAATACAGTATTACTTGTCATTGAATTCTAATGTACCGGTAGTCATTATTCTTAACTTTAGTAATGCAGATATTTTTATGCTTCTATGGAATATTTAAAAACCATAATTAAAATAATTGTAAAAATTTCACTAATAATGTGATGTGTATATTACAGTGGTGCTAAATGAGAATCAAAGGAAAGCCAAGCGTAAGCTAATAGCGGAAAACCGTGATAGGCGGCGACGAGAAGACATATTACGCACAAGTGGAATATTGTTAAGTAGTCAGCTAAGTGAATCAGATGAAGAACTAATACACCATGTTGTCATGGCAAACAGAGAAACGTGTAAAATGTTCAATAAGCGGCGTGAATCGGTGGAGGTAAATTCCCAAAATATTTTCCAATCATTTTATGTTATTATGTTATTACATGTGTATTTTTTTGATAATGAACTTTGTTGCATAAAATGTTTAAATGCAAGATGTATCAGGCCACACATGTACATGTTATATGCATGCTGCTGATTGAGAAAGGAACACACTGAACCAAAATGGGTGCAAGTTTACAGATTAATTCAGGTGTAAAAAAAACAACAACATGCAGATTAAGAGTTGACAAACAGTGATTTGGGGGAGTAAGCACAGTAAATATTTTTAAGAAAAATCATACAGGGCAAATTCCAAATGAGAGTCAGAGCAACATCGATACGAAAACAAAATTTTTTTTAATTTTGCTTGTTTTTTTAACATATAGTTAAATTCAACGAAATGAATTTGTTTGTTATTAACAGGAAAAATAACTTTCAAGTGGAAAAAATATTTCCTACATCATTAAATATTTATTTCTTTTTTTTTTAGTCAAATGAATATGAACCTGAAGCCAAAAAACTTAAAGTAGAGTTTCCTGACAAGCTATCATGGCAGAACTTGGCAGAAGTTATGACCCCGTCAATTATAAAAGTGGTAGAATTTGCAAAAAGAGTTCCAGGATTTACAACAGTAAGTTATATTTGCACAGTTTTCCATTTCTACAAACTCTTAAGAGCCGCGTGTGGTTGTATCAAAGCAATGGCTGAAGGGAGCCCTCATAGGTCATATTGTGCTTGTTTCGTATGTGTTGATAGAGGGCGCTATCAAACTGATTTAAGTTGAGTTTGCTTTGACAGTTTGAGGGCACTGTCCTCTTGAATATAACTACATGTATGTAGTGCAAATCAATGTCAAAATATTAAAGGGCATTGATATTTTTAGAATTACTGTCCATTTGTAAAACTATTTTAGATTCTTATGTATAATTTTATATCTTTTCTGACAGCTTGAGTACAACGACCAAGTATTACTTTTAAAAACTTGCTGCATGGAAATAATGTGTTTAAGAATAGCACAGAAGTATGACGCTGATACGAAAACATTATTACTCTCAAATGGTTTGAAAGTACAGAAAGGGCACCTACATGATGGAGGACTAGGAGAACTTATAGAACCTATATTTGATTTTGCTACCAGCTTAGCCAGATTGCAACTTAATGAAACTGAAATGTCGTTGCTAGCATCCGTCCTTCTCGTTGCAGCAGGTTAGTTTTTCAGCTTCACCAATTTGATTGTTGTAAGCAGTAACAAATGTAAATTAAAATAATACCAACATTTTTTTTAAATAAATCAATTTTCAATTATGTATCACTGCACCTTTCGTCATTCGAAAAAAACAACTAAATGTTGGCTCTATGAACTGTATCACTTAAGAAATCCACATTTGCTAATTGGTTTCAAGTTCAAACAATGACATATGTCGTATATTTACTGGTATATGCAATAAAAATGTGCACACATTTGAATCAAATAACCAATGTTTCTAAATTTCATAATGATAAACTATAAATGCATCTTGTTTGTTTGCACAGATCGTCCCGGATTAAATAATTCCAGAGCAGTTGAACAGTTGCAAGATACTATACTTAATGCATTCCAACATTACATCGCTGAGACTAGACCCAAAACGCCGGTACATTGGGCTAAGATATTGATGAAGGTAAGTCATGCTGCTTAGTACTCTGTGTTCTCCTCAGAATACTGTTTTCCTACCGAACTAGTACTTTGCCGCAGTGGTTCACTCCTCTTTTAAATTAAATTAGTAACTTGCTGAAAAGTTGTGTGTAGTTGTATCACTCTAGTTTTTCACAATTTCTGTTTGAGATAATTATGTAAATACTATTTTGCTGATTTAAAACATATGTTTACACACATTGTTAATGCTATAAATGTTTAAATTTCTGTCTAATTCTCTACACTAATAAATTGATTGCGACTTGAAAAGTTGTTATTATCTTTTGAAGTAATCATTTTTGGGGTGTTCAAACTGACAAATAAAATTATCTTTGTGTTTGAATTATTATAGGTTTAGACAGTGGTAACATAGTTGACAAGCAACAAATAAAATGTTTTTTTTTGTGTTTTTTTTTGTATTTCAAAAATAAAATTATAACCTGTGGTACTACCTCGAGTATGGTCTCACTTTTGGTCCCTTTTCATAGTCTGTTAATCCACAGAAAGTACCAGGACGTTTATGTCCTTTAGGCTTGTACATAAACCATGTTGAATGGATTTGATATCTGATATTTCCCAGCACTAATACTTTGTTGTTTTCTATCATCCTTAGTTATGTGTTTCCTTATATTAAAATAAATGTTTTTCCTTCTAGATTACTGATCTCCGAACTATCAGTGCCCGCCATGCTGAGAGAATCATGTGCATCAAACTAGACAGTCCTGAAGATATTCCACCACTTTTTATGGAAATGTTTGATGACTGCAATGCATGAGTTTAGCAGAATATACTAAAAAAAACTATGAAATACAGTACCAAAGATAAAAATGATGTCATTTATTTTGCAGTAAAACTGATATCATCAACCATAATTACCTTACATCAGTGATGATGTCATTGACTGCACCAAAAACTGATGATGTCATCAATAATTGTACTAGGAACTGATGATGTCATCAATGATTGTACCAGGAACTGATGATATCATTAATGATAACTACCTCATATCAGGATGTCATTCAGTATAAAAATACACAACTATTTTTTGTGTATAGCTACCTGGAAAGACTTGTAAAAAATACTAATGTCGTATAGAATAATATATATATAAATACTACTGTCATTTTTGAGAATACCTCGTATTGGTACACAACAAACAAGGTGTCATTGATATCCACCTACTACTGCCAAATGACAGCTTTTGGGTTCTCAGGAATATATTTACAAACCAAAAAGTTGTCTTTACAAATCAAACTAATTTACAAGTCATTGAGTGGAAACCTGATTGACTTATTTATTGCGTAGTTAGTGACGACTTTGACTATTTTAATCTTTACAAGTTATTTTATTGATAGTAGATCTACTTCTCATTTTTCCATTCTTTGGAGAGAGAGAGAGAGAGGGAGGGGAACTGAGGAAGGAACAACGTTTAATTATATCGCATTTCAAATTTCATGTCTTGGACTTCACAAAATGATGACATACGCCAATGTGTAGTGCCAGTTTACTAATTGACCCAAACAGTTACATCTGAACCATCTACTCTTATCCTTAGTGTATACGGTGATATTCCACTTATTCAAAAATGAAGTTGTACTCTGAGATCATTCCTAAAGTTGTATTAGGACTAACTGTGATATGAAATATTTATTAAACATATGATTTTCAGCACATTCCATCAAATTAATTTACTAATGTTCTAACATGCAGATTCACAGACTCTTTTGAACAAGGGTGAAATCCACAAACATTAATTCTCACATATTCATATCATCAAATATTTCACATGATAAATCCAAGGCTGCAATAAAGCTTTTGAAATGATCTCAAGAGAACAATTTAAGAACCGTATTTTTATTGTAATTTTATTATTTATCAGTAACCTAGAGATAATAGTGCTGTACGCTTCAATGTCTGTCATAACATTATCTTAGTTTCCCTCAAGCCTTGTCCTACACAATAGTTGAACAGTTAAATAATGACAACCCAAAGTATCTACAACTGGTGCCACACTTTGATTACCATGCCTCTATAAAAACATTAACTTACATCAATTGTTTTCATTATTAGTCCCCGTTCGGACGAAGTCCGAAAACGGGGACTTATAATTCGGTCTCCGTCCGTGCGTCCGTACATAGATCATACATGTTAGGATACATGTCCTGACCGTCCGTGAGTTCCCGAGTCTGTATGTCCGTCTATGCGTCAGTCTGTCCAGAGTCATATTTCAGAATCCTGTTGACCGATTCCCTTCATTCTTTGCATGTGTCTAGCACCTAATGTGGGACATATGCACATGCAGTGGTTTAGCGATTTGATTCAAAA